TGTAATTGCGTTTTATTAAGAATATTACCTACTGCCTGCATCTAATAATGTCTATTGCAAACAAAATCAATGTGATTAATAATTATCATAATTAGAAACCACAGACATGCAAACACTTTGAGTTGTTTCCTTAATCTGTAAATAGAGGGGGCTTTAAATTTTCTCTTTAGGGAATGCAATGAAAAATTGCATCAGAGCCGTTTAAGAATCACTTCCAAAAATTCACAAAGGCTTCTTTTAAAGAGAAGATTTTTGTCAATTTGGCAAGCAGTGAACTGCCTCTTGCCAGGCCTCCCTGCAGTTGTGTATCTTTTGTGATGAAGCAAGAAGGTTTTCATCTTAATTAAAAAGAAAATATTTCTGGGACAAGATTGACTATTACTCAGAATTCAGATTAGCAATGAAACCTTTCCCCCAGACCTTAGTGAGATATGGTTGGATTTGATGATCTTCAAGATCCTTTCCAATCTAAGTGATTTAATGATTCTACAATATTTTATCAAATTAAGTTTGTTGCTGCTCCAGTCTCAAAATGCCCAACATTTCTAACAGTTGTTTTCCATTGTAAAAAAACAACTACAGAGTTAAAAGCAAATCAGACAAGCCCTGCTGCTGCATTTCATTATCCTTGGAAAAAGACTGCAAAGCTTTCTGATTAAAATCCCTTTTTAACTAGTTCTGTAGTAAATCTTAATACTGTGCTTCCAGTTACTGCCTTTTCTTCTCATGTTTGGTTTGGTTTTTGTAATTCCCCAGCTCTCTTTTTCCACTCTGAAACCAGCCTCCTACATGTAAATATGATCTAGAAACATGATTAAATGCCAGTGGAGAAAATAAAACAGAAAAAAAAAATCAGCATTTCCTGGAACTGAATAGAAATCTGGACAAGACACCTAAGCCCTCCAGGGCAGACCAGTTATATTAATTTATTCTGGCTTAGTACAGAGGTGATTCTTCAAATCATTTTTCTCAGTAAGAGTGCAGTAAATGTGGACATCAGCACTCCCCGAGCCTCAGGGCAAACCCAGCCCCTGAACATCAGCATCTCTGAATTAAGAGTTTCCCACTGCTCCCCCAGCACATGAATTTTTAAGGGTCAATCTTTCTCCTCCCAGCTCTAGAATCACAGAAACCATAAATGGAAAATCACAGTGGAAGCTCACAGGGCTCACGTCCCATCTCCCCACAGAGCACTCAGGGAATATCCAAATATCCACAGCACTTTGGAGAGAGGGAAAACCCAAGAAAAAAAATTCTGAATTTCTTCTACTGGCAGCTGCTGGCAGCAGGTCCCCATCACCACACCCAAACCCCTGCCCTGTTATGGAGTTATTTGTCCCTTAAGAGACCTGGGCACAGTTTAAGAGACAAAAAAATACTCAAAGATTGTGCTTTAAAGAACTTTAACACTTCAGTTCTTTCCCAAATTCCAAATTAAGAGGTGCAGAATTCAACATAAAACATTTCCCTGAAAAACAGAATCATGATTTCTGTCATATCCCTGCCTCTGTACCAGGGGTGCACAGCTGGCTAGCAGGGAATTTATGATCCACTGAAAACCCTGCTTCAGTTTCCTCTGAACCACTGTCTTCATGATCACACTGACTGACTTTTATTTTTGCTTTTTTGTTATTTTTTCTCCTCTCATGAGTGATTTTTTTGTTGTTTTAATAAATTATATCTTTACACACAGAAAAAAATCGAAACTATTAATCACTCTGATTTACTTTTATTTTTGCTTTTTTCTTATTTTTCTTCCTCTCACCAGTTATTTTTTGTTGTTTTAATAAATTATATCTTAACACACAGAAAAAAAATGTGAAATGTTGTACTCCAGAATTGCATTATCTCAATGTCCAACCCACTGATGAAAACACCCAACTCCTGCAGCATCCCACAGAACCTCACCGCTGTTCACATTCCCACTGAGCTTTCAAATGTGCTTAAGATAATAAAGCTCCCAAAAATTTCAGTATCAAGAGGATAATTGACTTGGAAATTGCAGCATGTCACCTCTGACATCCCTGGGTTCAGTTACCCTGCAATGATGAGGGTAAAACAATATTTGCTGTTTGATTTTATGTAAGGACACATCTGGATCTTCCCATCCATTCTCTCCAAGGTGCTCAAAGAAGAAAGACTCACCAAGTAGAGCCAGATTTTAAATCCTTTCACTGTTGAATCACTCACTCTAATTCAAATTATTTTCACTTTTTAATTTCTATTTATTTTGCTCGCAATTCTCCCTTGGATTCTCTATTATTATAATCTGAAATGGAAATAGTGTTGATCCAGAGGCCATGCTCTGTGAGTTCTTGTGCACTCAAAGTCTTATAAAACCTGTACAGAAACACAAAATACAGTCAAATACTATTTTAAATTAATGCTTGAGTTTGTTTAATTACATGCAGCATGTAATTAGGAACATTTTAATATATAACAAAGACACCTTCTGGTCACTGAACTCCATTAACAAAGAAAACAAATATTTAACTCCATTTTTCAATAAACTGACCAATTATCCCTCAATATTGCACACATCTTAACAAAGCTCATTAAAGCACAAATTTCTGAGGCTGCTCTTACATTTCTACACTGACTTACCAAAGTTTTAAGTATTTCATGTATGACTTAAGATAGTTTTAAGAACATCAAGCATCTTCCCAAAGCAAGCACCTGATCTGGAGATGAGGCAGCAGCAGGAGCTGTTAAATTCCCCTCAGCACCACCATAAAGGGGTGGCCATAAAGAGAAAATGAATAATTTCTGTTGAGAGCTGTCAGACAGCAGGAAAACAACTTCCTGAGCTGCTTTTGCTAAGAAACCAGAGCTCACACCCTGCCAAGTAATAAGGAAATGCACAATTTTTTGATTGTGTGACTTCTTGTTTCACTGAAACAGGATATTGCTCCCCAGACACCACCACTGCAATGGATGAGCACTTTATTCCCAAGTATTATTTTCCTTTTGGCACAAACAGACATTTCAACCTCACATTTCAGCTACTCTGAGTAAAACAAGAAGAGACTCACTTTAAGCTTTCCTCTTTTACAAGGCATTATTTTGCAAGGACTGCCTCATTTATATTAAAAGTACAGGGCACCATAATTTAACATTATTCTGATACACAACAATTATTATTATATAATGATTGTAATTATTATAATTATTGCTCTGGAAAATTAATTTCATTAATGACAGTATTAGTCTTACAATTAATGGAAAGGTAACACTGGAGCATTTGAGTGCACAAATTAATTGTGCACCTGCACAAAGTAATTTAGAAAAGGATGTTTTAATATTTAAAAATCTGCTAAATGTTATGTTAAGCTTTATAGCACACTGCATTTCAGAACAAAGCTTGCAGCAACTGGGAGAGGAATCAGTTGCTGAATTGTAAAAGGGTTGAAATTACAGTCAAACATTTCAGTAAATTAAAGTATAATATTCTACAATCCTCTTTGTGTAACAGTACCCACTAATGTAGCACAGTTTTAATAAAACATATTTATTTTCTCATTGCTTTTAATCTTCAAACTGTTTTTGAGCTATTGCTGCTGTGTAAATACTGAAAATGATCATTTGGTAACCCAAATACAGGAACGCGACATTAGGCTGATTTATTTAATCACTGAGCCCAAAACCCCAAATCACAAAATGCAGCCAGCAATATTAAAGACCATTAACAACCTGGCACAGACTCTGTCACCAGGAAAAGAGTTCAGTAAAATTAAATGGTCTCACACACAAACCTGTGTTCTCATTTCTGAACTTCAGGTGAACAACCCCAAAGAGCCATCTTATAAAAAAAATAAATAATCAAAAGCACTTCTAAGAGCCAAACCATTCATTATGGACACAGCAGAGCCACTCATGAGTGCCACCTCTCAATCAAGAATAACTTCCATTAATATCCTAAGTGAGCACTAAGCTCAAACCAGATTTGGGTTCAGAAAAGCAAATATATGAAGAACAATTTTGGTTTCTTGCTCTTGCCTCACCAGTTTTATTGGTAAGGTCTGTATCAGCTAAACAAGAGATACTCAACACTCCTAACTCAATTACACTCCTAACTTTAGCATTTTTCTTCTGCACCTAAATATAAATGATGTGAAATGTATTAAAATGGAAGTTTTAAAAATTCTTCTCAGTTCTTCAACATTTCCCCATACTTAAATTTAAAAATGAGAGAACTTTTTAATATCTGAAATTTTCCAAGACCCCTTGTGGCTCCTGCCCATATATTGTTCACTGACCTCCTGGCTGGCATATTGAAACAATTCATGAGAAGCTCATTAAAAGCTAGCAGGAAAATTCTTCTGGTGCATTTTATCAGAGGAGATAATAGCCTACAATCTAGAGCATGAATATGTGATAAGAAACAAAACAAAGCCATTCAGACAAAGAACACTTGGAATGCATTGTTCCCATAAGCAGATGTTAAATTACTTCACTGTAAAGTGGGATTTCTAAAACCCAAAGAAATGTTATTTTTATGTGAACAAACGAGATCAGTTTATTATTTCAGCAGGGTGACACAAAGATCCCGCACATGTGTCTCACCAGGCAGGCAGATGTGTGGGGAGGAAAACTAAACTGGTTGTGGACCAAAAATGCCACAGAAGTACTGACAGAGGAGGATGGAATGGGAGTAGCCAGACTCCTAGACTAGCTCAAACATGAAAATAAAATAAAAACCCAGTAAGCCAGCTGGCTGAAGATTAAATTGTCATTTAACTGGAGCTACAGATCTTTGTGTGCAGTGAGACACGGACCAGAGACAGCTCAAAAGATACACTTTGAGATAAGACAGGTACTAAGAAAGCTCAGAGAAAGCTTCAGCCTTTCTGGGAACTGTTAATGTCAAATACATCCAACATAAAGCAAAGAAAATAAAATGCTGATTCATGGCTGGGTGAACGCCTCAGGGTTATCACATTCTGAGGATATTGTTCTTGGTCACACACTCAAGCTTACTGCTCTTACCAAAAATAGATTTTTCAGTCCATAAGTGTTCACTTCACAACTGTTAAAACCCACTTGGACTCAATTATCTGTCGTGAAGAACCCATTGATCCTGTTTGTAATCCACTCTCATGGGTGTAACAAGATAAATCTGTGTAAAGCAGGCTCTGAAAAGTCAATGTACTCACATCAGTGTCAGGCCCCTTGTCAGCCCCAGGACAGGAGAAGGTAACGAACTCATGGCACCTCTTGTGAACCACAAAACAGCAAACTGGCAAAAAAAAAGGGGGAAACAACAGTTAGAGTGGTTGGTGGTGGTGTTCCTTTTTTTATTTTGTAACAAATGTAAAATAAAACCTAAATATTTCACCTGTGAGTCAAGGAAAGCAAGCAGAGTCCCATGTAAAATAAAGACACAAGACACCAAGCAAACACTGTGATTAAAGAGGAGATAAGCATCCACATTCAAAAGCCAAGAGACTCCACACAATGATAAATCTTGAATGCTGGAGACAGCCCACAGTGCTCAAATCCAGCGTGGGATGAGCCACATTTCCTGAATCTCAATCCTGCTCTGTCACAGAGCTGTCAGTGTGCATCCAGGAGGGATGGATGGGAGGGATGTGCAGCTGGAATGAAACCCATCCTTGGGGCTGGGATTTGCTCCCCTGCATGCCTGGGGAAGGGCTCTACAAAAATCCAAATCTTTCCCAGCTTAATTACTTCTGTGAGGGACCAGAGCTCTCTGTGAGTGAGGCTGTTCTGGAGAACAAAGTGTTCTCATAGCACAGAATGGCAGGAGATAATGGGAAAAGAAAATTAGCTCCTGATTGCAATGTGAAGCCCATTTAAAATTTATGAATGATCTCAAAGAACTTTTTCTTTCTGAGATAAAAAAGTTCCTGCCATGGGATGGAGGCCATAGGTGGTCACACAGGTCCCTCCAAACCACAGCAAAAGAACCATTTCCTTAAGGGTGCTTACTTTAAGAGTCAGAATTCCAGTTTTCACTCCCACTATGGGCTCTTTCACAATATTAAACTTAGTTCAGATATTTTGAAATTGGTCCACATTTCAACAAAAGAGACAATCAAGACGTGAGATTGAAAAAACCTTGTAATAAACACCATGCCATCAAGCACTGAGTCAGGAGACTATAATGAAATGATTTAAAAGTAATTCACAGCTTGTTTATAGGTAATGCATTCTCTGTATACTTGAAATTTTGCATTTCCAACACATAAAACCACACTATTCCCCAAATCTCAAGAATAAAATAGAGTTAAATTGCTTAACAACAGCAAACATTAAATTTCCTCAACTTCACAGGAAAACAAATTATCCAAATTGTTCTAAAGAGCTCATTGCATGAGGCAACTTTAACCCTTCTCTTTTCCTTTTAAAACAGCCATGAATTTATTTAATGAATAAATAGAGAAGGGAGCTGTGCCCAGGTGCACCTGCAGGTCACTGCAGACAAGCCCTGATCCCATTAATGCCAGCCTGGCCTCATCCCCAGCCCTAAGTCTGCCTTTAAATTCTAATCACCCTCCTCTCCCTCCCAGCTATTTTTCATCAGGATCCCATGCAGAAATGGTTTCCAACTGCTCTATTTCCGATGTGGCATATGTTCATTCTTTGGGCAAAGGGAATAAAGTGGGTTTTGCTCCACTGAGTCCAGATTAGCTCTGCTGACTGCACTTGAGCCACAGTGGCTGCTGCCCACTTGGTTGTCTACTTTGGTAATCAACCCAAATCCCAGTGAATCCTGCAATTATCATTTTGATGGTTTGTTTTCTACCAACTGAAAGATCACTAAGTGGCAATTACCACTAATATTACTTGCAGCTGAGTCATATTTTACTTTCAGACTGTATTTTTGGTTCCAGATCTCCCAGTCTTGAGGACAATAGACTGATTTGTGTTTTCAGTAATAAACCACATGCAAAAAAAAATTTAAAATTTTAAATCTTGGTATATCCTTCAGAAAATAAAGAAGTTAACTAATTATTTTGGTAAAAGTTGCAAAGTATAATATGATGATCTGAGACATATTATGGGAATATCTGGAGATCTGTAGAAAGGAGCTGTTTCACCAATGCCAATCTGGACCTTGGAGTGGCTGCTCCAGCTCTGCCTTTATTCAGCATGTGTATAAGGAAAACTGCATATCTGGGCATCTGCTTTGGGCAGAATTTCTGAAACACCACAGCCACGTCCTATCTCTGAGCTGACAGCTCCTCAGAGCTCAGTGTGAAGGAATTCATCCAACCAGAGACAATGCTGACCTTGTTTTTAATATGATTTAAGCACTGAGATAACAACATGGGAAGAGGAGTGCCACTGTTTGCTCCAGCCTGTGAACTTTAGCTGTGAACTTCCCTGGAAACAACGCTCCTCATCACATGCCATGGAAAGGACAATTCAGCTGCCAGAGAAAGCAAACCACAGAGGATTTGTCCTTTTGGACTTGGGCTACACCTCAAAACTGTGTGATAATGCTCTGATTATCAGCGCTGGTTACTGAAATCTCAAAACTGAATTTGTGTTCAGCCTAATAACAGCCTTTGGTAGGAGCTGATGTGGGCAACTCAACATGGACAGCCTTGATTCTTTCTCCTTTATTTCCCATTTGTAATAGGTGACTTCTCTCCAAAGAGCCTGGCTCCTTAACAGGTGATCCAAAAGCATCAGACCTGTCTCACCTTTTGGGAATTCTCAAAAAAGAACCAAACAGTTCCACACAGAAATAACCAATACAACAAGCAACTTTCATGGAATCATAAATCCAAAGGGAAAAGAACAAGTGTCAACTGAAATCCATCTGACAACCATCATTTCTGTACATATAATTTAACATCTCAATTTTTAAGTTGAAATCCAGCCACTGGACTGTATCTTAGCATTTTTTAAGTGTTTTCTTTATTTCATGGAGCAACACAGATCTGGAGAACTCATGTAAAAATTTCCTTAGTTCAGCTAAGTGCAACCACAGTGTCATCTGCCTAAAATAACGTGCCTTTCTTTTTTTTTAGGAATAGAGATGAAAAATAACCTCTCACTTGTTACTTGTTGAGGATGTTAAGAGCTTCACATCACTTTCTGCAGCTGTTATGAAGCCACATTATGTTCAGCACCTTCATGTAATGAAACTTGTATTACACTGCTTTGCAGAGGCTGCCAGGAAATTTGTTCCTTTCCACTTTACCACGAGCTGAAGGGAGCTGGCACACATTATGCAGAGCAGCTCGAGAGCAAAGTGGCATCTCGAGGCTGACAGCTAAAATTAAAAAGAAAATTATTGAGGTATTTTCGTGTTTTGACAGCGTGATTTTGATCTGTGGTGTATATATAGAATCTGGCTGGGAGCTTCCATCCTTCCAGCCCTGGACTTGCCGGAGCCAAAGGTTCCCAGGGAGGGGAGCAGGGAGGGATGCAGAGAACAAAACAGGCCTTGTGCTGCAAAACCAGCCCAACTGCTCCTCGCTGCTGGCACCTGGCTGCTCCCTGCCCTCCCAGAGAGCAGAAAATGCCAACTGGGCAGCACAAAACCAAGGAGGAACCCGGGAAGGAGCACTCAGTGCATTCTCAGAGCAAACAAGCTGAAGACGCTCAACAGAGCTTGTGGGATTTATGTACATCATGGAGGGCAATTCATTCTACACAACACTGCTCTGTCCAAGCATAGCACTGAGAAAAACCTGTTATCAATAATACACAGATATATAAATATATATATATACTGTCATCACTTGGAGTTACAAGGCTCCACTGTAAATTTCCAGCTTTATTCCAAATTATGGGGAGTGAAAAGATAATTCTGATATATGGTCAGGTTGAGAGTTCTCTGCTAAAAAATACTGCTGCTAATGGCTTGCATATACGACACAGATGGATGGGACCAAAGTGAAGTACTGCAATCATAAATAACTGAAACAGAAGCAATCTTCTCTATTAGCTGATCTAGAAAGAAGAAAAGCCATTGCAGAGCCCACACATCACTCAGCCATATGTCTGAAGAGCTCCACAATCACAAGCATTCCAAAGAACAAGGGGTAAAAAATATCGAGATAAAAGTCACATGCTTTACAACTGAGAACTATTAGAAAAGGTCAAGAGATTTATTTTTTTAAAATCACTTGTAAACTCCCACTTTTGGAAGAGAAAAACAGAGTAGGTGAGCCTTTCCACTAGCTATAAATAGCTCTACTACACCACAGTATTTATTTATTCAGTTAAACAAATTCAGCTGCAAACCTAAAGGGTGGAGAGAATGTATTTGCCAGAGTCCAACTGAACTGCCAGCTACCATCTACAGTGAGCTTTTTTCAAGTCATCTTTGACTCTTTTTGTAATCATACCATTACTAAGGTTGGAAAAGAGCCCCAGGACCATCAAGTCCAGCCTTGGAACAAATATCACCATGCCCACTGACCAGTTGTCAAGACTGATGTCCCAGCTCAAATGGATAACATTTTAACCAGTGTAAAAATCACATTTTTTCCTGTCTAAACCAACCCCAAAGCTGTGGCTCCACTGCCATGGCATTACTGGGTGCCTCACAACAACAGGCTCATAATTTGTTTCCAGGTTTCAAGCACTGATTATTCCACATTGTTCCAGCAAGGCAGAAAAATCATAAAGAAAGGCTTTATAAAATCAAGGCTGCTCTCCTAAAATCAGTGGCTTGCCTTGTCAAGCTGGCACTTTGAAGTTCCCATCTGAAAGCAATCCTGGTGTGGGCAGTTCATTAACATGACAATCTATTCCTGGGTGAAAAACAACCAGCACCTGTATAAACTGGTTTTGCACTGTTAGATGGAAAAATAAAAACTATCTCTGACAAACAACTTTTCCTGTACACATCAGGGGTTTGAGTGACCAATCAATACAGAATAACAACTTGTTATTAACCAATAACATAATTGGCAAGAAAGCTGCTGACCAATTGGAGTCACAGACAAGGTCTGTAAACTGGATAAAAATGAGTTATGTGAATAAAGAATGGGCTTTTTCCACCATGAGGAAAATGGAGTTCAGCATGATTTATTCCCATACCAGAGGAAGCAGCACTGGAGGTCTCATGGGCAGCAAGAGGGAAATAACTCTGTGTACACTCTATTTGTTGTTGGGTTCCTGCTTTGGGGCTTTTAACAACTGATCCTGAACTGGGCTAAGGAACCCCCACAGAAGTTCAGTAAGAACAAAACCACAGATTTCCCCAGGGGCCCAGAGCTGTGGCTGGGCTGGGCTTTCTGCACAGCACCAAGC